GTACAGGCAATGGGGGTGAATACAATGGTTCATTTGATAAATATTGCAAAAAAACATGGTATTCGGCATAACAGTTAATTCCCAAGACTCCACAACATAATGATGGGTAAACGAATGAACCGCACCATTGAGGAAAGAGTTAGGTGTATGCTTTTGCATGTTAAATTGCCAAAATCTTTTTGGGGAGAGGCAATGCGTATTTGTTTGTTACTTAATTAACTTGTCTCCTTCAATTGTTTTAGATGGAGATATTCTAGAAAAGGTGTGGACAGGAGAGATGTCTTTTATGACCACTTACGGGTGTTTGGTTGCTATGCATTTGTGCATATTCCCAAAGATAAAAGGTCCAAGCTTGATGAAAAGTCTAAGCAATGCACTTTCTTGGACCATGCAGATGAAAAATTTGGGTAAACTAATAAGAAACAGAGGTGATCTTTCTTGAAGATCAAATAGTTGAGCTTGAGAACATTGCAGAGTCATAATCAAAGTCTGAAAGCCTTGCTGATTTGGATTTGGTTCCTTTCTTTGCTATGCATGGTGAAAATATAGAAGATTTACAAGGTAATGTGATTGACGATGGTAGCGCTTCAGGAAGCAACTTTGATGATGTTGATCATGAAGAAGAGGAGCGCAGCCCATAAAAGCTCCTCAAGTGCCACAAGAGAAACCTCAAGTTCAAGAAGAAGAACCACAACTAAGAAGGTCTAGTAGGAAGTGGGTGTCATCAAAGAAATACTCTCCTCATGAGTATGTTATTCTCAGTGATGCAGGTGAAATAAAATGTTATGAGGAAGTTGTAGAGAGTAAAGGTAAAGAAAAATGGTTGAAATCTATACAAGAAGAACTAGATTCATTGCCTAAAAACTACACTTATGACTTGGTGGATTTATCAAAAGGCAAAAAGGCACTCAAGAATATATGGGTATTCAAGTTGAAAATAGAAGAAAAATGCTCACATCCATGGTACAAAGCAAGGTTGGTTGTAAAACGCTTTGGTCAGAAAAAGGGCATTGATTTTGATGAAATTTTCTCTCCAATTGTGAATATGTCATCAATCAAAGTAGTGTTGGGCTTAGCAACAAGTATGAATTTAGAGGTTGAGTAGCTTGATCTCAAAATTGCATTTCTTCATTATGATTTGGAAGAAGACATCTACATGGAGCAATCAAAAGGGTTTGAAGTAAAGGGAAAATAATACATTGTTTATAAACTAAGGAAGAGCTTGTACAGGTTAAAACAAGCACCTAGGCAATGGTACAAGAAATTTAAGTCCTTCATGGTGGACAATGTGTACAAGAAAAAGGCTATAGATCATTGTGTATTCATTAAGAAATTTTCTAATGTTGATTGTTGGGCAGGATATAAGCAAGATTAAGAAGTTAAAGAGGTTAAGCAAATGTTTTGTTATGAAATACTTGAGTTCAGCACAACAAATTTTGGAAATGCAAATCTCTCATGATAGAAAAGCTGGAAAGCTATGGCTATCACAAGAAAGGTACATTGAAAAAGTGTTGGAAATGTTCAACATGGACAAAGCCAAGTCAGTTAGCATTCCACTTGCAAGTCACTTCAAGTTGAGTCTTGAACAAAGTCCTTCAAGTGAGAAAGAAAATGAAAAAATGATGAATATGTCATATTCTTTGGTTGTAGGAAGTTAAATGTATGCTATGGTTTGCATTAGGCCTAACATTGCACATGCAATTGGTGTTGTTAGCATTTTTCTTATCAATCTAGGCAAAGAGCATTGGAAAGCAATTAAGTGGATTTTCAGGTATCTAAGGGACACTTCTGAATTATGTTTATGTTTTTGTAGTAGTAAGACGGTATTGGAATGCTATACTAATGTAGACATGGCTGAGGACACTGAATCTAGAAAGTCCACATCAGGATTTTTACTTACTTTTGCAGGGGAGTAGTGTCATGGCAATCCAAACTATAGAAATGTGTTATTTTATCCACTACAAAATGTGAATACATTGCTGCAACCGAACCTTGCAAGGAAATTTTATGGGTGAAGCAGTTCTTTAAAGAATTGGGTATGCAACAAGATGAATATGTTGTTCTTTGTGACAGTCAGAGTGATATCCACTTAGCGAAGATCCAAATTTTCATTTCAAGTCAATACATTGATGTCATATATCATTGGATAAGAGATGTTCTTAAGGAGAAGCAATTGCAGATAAAGAAGATCCATACGGAAAGGAATGATTCAAATATAATGACTAAATATTTACCTAAGAACAAGTTTGAATTCTACAAAGGCTTGGCGGGTTTAAGTATTGAAAAGACCTCCTCATGAATCGAATGGGGAGATTTGTTGGGTTGTCCTCCTCATGAGGTAGGACCCACAAATTAATAAAGACAAAAAGAACAAAAAGGAAAATCAAAGAAAAGGGTATTTTGTATTTTTTTGGCTTATCTTTCAAACCAATATGTCTTTTGCTACCCAATGAATTGGGATAGCTCACTTAGTACTCTCTCACTCTAACAACTCTCTAAGAAAAATATTTATAGAAGGGAAAATTTCTTAAACTACCCTTATGGTTTAGCTAACTGACTAGCTATACCCCTATTGTTTAACTATTGTCTTATGCTACCTCTACTATTTCGGACGATTATCATGACTGTTAAATTGTAATGGAAGAGATGGAAATATTTTTTTGCCCTTAAGTCATTCTCTCTCCCTCTCTCCTCCTCACCGCATCCAATTGAATTGATCACACACTAGGTGGACATAAGCTTTGCAAATGATGCTCACCAAAGTTTGTTCACAAACCTCACATATCCAGACTTTGTTCCTTAAAATGGTCACTTAGAGTCAATGGAGATATGAATTAGGGCCTACGACAAAAGATCACCAAAGTTTCCCCCAAAACCTTCGATGAAGAGACGAGAAAGCATGCTTTCTTCATCTTCATCCCACCGGAAAACCGTGCCAAAAAACCATCAAGCCAAGAGCGTTGGCTCCATGTCAAGCATTTTTCAGCTGATTTGCAAACACCAACATCGTCGAAAGTTTCTCACCTCCAATATCCCAACTAGTCTAAAAACCCCACTCCTCCAACCACCGACATCTCTCTAAGATCGTCCAATGAGCTTCAACTCAAAAATGATTTTCTGATCATCACAAAAATTACAAAGGTTAAGATGGATTGGATATTCCAAAACCCATAGAAAGGAAATAATAGATATGCCATGAATTTAGCAAAGCAATCTGAAAGTCATAGCTTGAACCAACTTTTCTCCAAGAATCAAAGAGAACTGCCTTGGGTATATGTGAGATAAGGAAAAACAAACTTATGGATGACGAGAGCCAAAGATTTAGGTCTGAAATCAATAATGATTTTGTTGGAAATGAGTGAGAAAATATAAACAGATGTCAAAATGCACAAAATCATCAATTGAAGAAGAAAACCCTTGAACATTGTCCTCAAGGTTTTTCGAGGCAAGAAAAGACTAATACATTTTTACTTTTTTGTCTCTTTATTTATTTGTGTATTCATTTCAAAATTTATTCTACCATTATTATACCAGAATCTAGCCATGAGCTCAAAACCCTCTACTCCACCTTGAAAATCATGGAATATGACTCATAGATTTATCTAAAAATGATGAAATAGTTTTCTGCAAGTACATGGGTAAATGAATGGGCACCTCCGATGATTTGCCGCGATTTCCCATCGTTGCTACAATTTGATGAAACAAGGGAAAGAGGGAGAGAGAATGAAGGTCAAGGAGACAGAAAGAGAGAGAGAGAGAGGCGGAGGGGTCCGCTGGTGCCGAAAATGGATAGGTGATTGTCGGGATGGTGCTCCATCACACCCTGGTCAATGTTTATTTGTTTTTTATCTTAAGTTTAAGTTTTTAACATCTTGATGTTCGGTTGCACTGAATTCTTTGTCCCATTTTGAATGATTACAAATTTTTGGTTTTGCATTTTGTTTGCTTAATACATTAGAAAAAAAATGAATGCCATAGCTCAAAGAACTTCCAATGGGGGACGCAATGGCAATTGGAACTTTCAGATGAGACGAAGTCGGACACAAACATGGAATTGGAGACGGTGATGAGACGAGATGGGGTCAGAGTTGGAGTCAAAGACGGAGATGGACACGGAATCAAAGTCGAAGACGGAGACAGTGATGTACGAGTGTGATGGTTTTCAAAAGAGTATTTTAGGGATTTTTAATAACATATCACCTACGTGATGTCACATGTGAACGGAGTGTGACGGAAAATTAACAACAAGGGAGGTTTTAGACAATTGTCGAAGGATTAAGAGGGTACTTTAAGACAATATGTAAATAGTAAGGGTATAATTAGTAAATTAGTTAAACAATAGGGGTAATTTAAGAAATTTTCCTTTTAAAAAAGAAAAGAGTTTTGAAAAGAAGAAGATTTATAAGGGCTGAAACGAAGAAGACAAATCTATTTTTCAGCATCTCTTCTTGTTTCCTTTGTTGTGTTTCCACTCTTGGTAAGAAACATCTTATTTGCTATCAATTTTGTTGATGTTTTTGTTGTTGAAATTTAAGAACTTTCTTTATGTTCATCATCTATCTGTGATTAGATGGAAAAACATTGTATCCCTTTTTCATTGTTCATAGTGGATGATTTAGATTCCGATCCCGTGGTTTTTTTGTCCTCACATTGAGGGGTTTTTCTCGACTGTTTGTTTTATCATTGAATATCTGTTTTTTATTGTTAAAATCTCTTTGATTTGTACAATAAAAAACATAGGGATCATTCCCAACAACCCCTGTGAATCGGGCCCTAATAACAGCATTGCATGGTTGTTTCCCTCCCCACCCTTGATACATCAGCCCAAGGAGTCGAAAGACGAACTCATCAAATTGGATCCCTTCAAGAAGTTTTGAACCAGTTTCAAAGCATGAAATCCATTTGAAATCAATGATAATACAAAAAAAAAAAAAAATGAAGAAAGAAAATTCCGGGTCTCTTAAAATTATCATGTTTCTTGAGGACTAAAAATTACCTGTATCAACTCGGAAATTTGCTACCCAATCTCTCCGTCCTTTACAATTTCGTGCTAAGTAAAATAAACACAATTCATCTTTCATCGTAAAGCAAACATCGTTACTTTTCCAATTAGGTTGAGGTCGTGTATCCGATCTGCTCTTGCCTGCCATTCTGCTCGATGCCTCTAACAGCGGCGGTCATTCCCTCACCCACGGCGGCCATTTCCTCACCGACGGCCCTGACGACGTTGGCCATTTCCTGACCCACCTTCATTATCCGGCCCCGGCCCCGGCCCAAGGGAAGCTTCTTGTACTGGTGCAATGGATGCGAGTTGCTGTCAACAATATGCAGCAGCATCACCATAATCACCGATGTAGCAAACATTGGGATTGGACCGAAAATCCATAGCAGTAAAGTAACGGCAAAGTAGAGCGCCCGGAGTCCAACTGACCAATAATAACTTCCCCTTGTCACCGCCATCTGCACATACTTCACCGGCATGTCGGTATACGGCATGGTTATCAGGAAGGTAGTGTGGACAAAGTATCTTGCAGCTTGAACGAAGGCTGTAAAAGCAACCAGGAAAAATGAGAGGATGCTGATGTATTTGATGGACATTGTAGATTCGCTTGTATCTCCATAGATCAGGCTGTTGGCGAAGAGGTTATGTGAAGAGCTTCCAACCCAGGCGCCGATCAGGGAGCTCAGACCGATGGAGACGGAGCAAAGGAAGGTTGCCGCCGATGTGTTGCTTGAGATCACTGACAGAGCTAGGCCAAGGTCACTCGATTCGACCTGTGAGTAATACATACCCATTAAAAATATCAAATAATTAAGCTAAGTCGAGGGAATTAATTGGAAGAAATCAATCAAATTAGAGAAGAAAGGGAAAATCCTGACCTGCATCATTCTCTCGACCCAAGCTATTCTGTTGTGGTTCTCATAGCCAATGACTGTGGTCTCAGGATATCTTAGGATTCTGTAGAGCAGGAAGAGATGGTAACCAAACATGATCAGTAATCCACTTGGGACCAAGATAAGATCCAGGTATTCTTTCTGAAAGCCCATCTCATTCCTTCAGCTTCCTAATCGGATGCTTGAATGGGGAGTTAGATTTTTATTTAATTAATTGTAGTTTCTCCACTCAACTGATCAGGCCTTAATCCCAACTTTGATCTGCCAATATGAGAAAGAGAAAGTCATAAAAACATTGTAATTTGCACAGGCAATATCAAATTACATGGGTGTGGCAATAACATCTACATTTACATGCTTAATATAAATGCAGATCGTTTGGGAAGAAATTGCCGATAACTTAGGACCTTATGATGAGATCTAAAAATGCGAAAGATTTGACTGGTTGAAATATTGAAATCATGACCTTATACCATTGAAAATTTTCATACATTTTATGATTTTGTCAAAGGCGCCAGTAGAAATCAGAGGGAATTATATTTAAGAGGAATTTGGAACGGAAAAGTTGGGTGTCTGACCGGCGGACCTCTTCCACCAAGAAAAGTCAAATGGATGTGGTCGTAACTTGTAAGAAAGGTTGGGAATTTAATTCCCATAAATATCCATCACCATGTACTATGAACTTTGACTTCTTATTGATTTGATATAAATATGAATCAATGAAATGTGGCATTTAATTTATATAAATATATATATAGAGAGAGAGGGGATTTTTTAACAAAATATGATATTTATATAAGATAAATTTTTTGAAAATTGAAATAAGTGTATCCTTATTATTTGAAAATTGACTGATACTACCTTACCTACAATTGACTAATTCTACCCTTATCATTCACATCCCTTACTATTCTTTCATTGTGACGTTTAAAATTGACGGACACTACCTTCTTCCTCATACCTCCCGTCTCTTCTCTCTTACTTCTCTCCATTTTTCTCTCTCTTACCTAGGGTCATGTAGGTGTCTAGGTGTAATCGCTCAGAGGAGCAAATCTAGATTTTGATGGCTGACGGAGAGGAGCAAATCTAGATTTTGCAGCACTAACTTCTATTCCATCAACACCAGTTATTCCAACAACAGGAGAGATCCCAGCTTTTTTTCCGTTGCAGAAAAGAGATCCCTTACCCCGCTTTCAAAAATGATGAATATGAAGTTCGGGAGGCTACAGGCACTATGGATCCTCTGATTCCCAATCGGGTTGCCTTCCCGGGTCTCGCCGGTGTTGCCTGTAGGTCATGATGTGCCTCAAGATGGCCGTCTCCTGTTCCCTTGCCAGTGGGGAATCCGCTCACAGCTCCTCACTCTTTTACATCTAGCCCGTCCTCTAGGCATGAATGACTGAAATGTGCATGCAGAAGGCCGAGCTGCCTCGTAACGAAACCAGTCGGCCTTCTGCACGCACATTTTAGTCAGTCCTCCATTCTCTTTCTGCTGTGACCGGGAAGAGCTGCATCGTAACGAAACTAGTCGGCATCGTAAAGAAGCCAGTCGGTCTTCTATACGCACGTTTCAATTAGTCCTCCGTCCTCCGTTCGCTGTGACCGGGAAGAGCTGCCTTGTAACGAAACCAGTCGGCCTTCTGCACGCACATTTTAGTCAGTCCTCCGTCCTCCGTCCGTTGTGACCGGGAAGAGCTACCTCATAACGAAACCAGTCGGCCTTTTGCACGCACATTTCAGTCAATCCTCATTCTCTGTCCACTGTGATCGGTAAGAGCTGCCCCATAACGAAACCAGTCGGCATCGTCATTCTCTGATTCACCTTCGTCGTCGTCGTCCTCGTCGGCAGCAACCTCTTTTTTTAGAATATCAAAGCTGAAGGCGAAGAGATCACCGCCGCCAGGACGCCTGTCGTGAGTTGAACAAGAATCATCTCCTCAGCATTGACAACGAAGGAATTTGAGGAGCCTGAATCGTCCATTTGGCTGTCGGAACCCATCGGAAGATTGCCAATCATCACCCTATCTCAGAGGAAACAACGTTAAGATCCAACATCACGGCTTCCAATTCGTCAACAATTTATGTAGTTTACTTGTACTTTGTCTCTTTCGTTCTTTGATTGATCTTGCGTCCTTAAGCCAAGAAAATTCCAAAAGGGTGTTAAGGAGGTAAAGGTATTGGCAAGATAAAGCAGAGAGGCATCTAAGGAACATTAGCTCTTCGACACCCAGAAGACGATCGTTTCTAATCTGAGTTTCAAAATGGTCATTTTACATTTTTCCAACCATATTTAACGATCGTGGTAATGTTTAGTCAATTGTGAGAAACAGTAGGAATACGTCAATCATTTTTTAAAGAGTAAGAAGCGTAGTTTAAGAAATTTACCCTTTATATAAATATCCATTACCAGTAGAAATCAATAAACTTTTCATAAGAACCGTGCAAATGACTCAAAGTTTGTGAGCTCTAAAACTGGTTGATAATTAGACAACAATGCAAAAGGCAACAGGATCAGCCATTTAATGTAGGCTTTTATTTGTTTATACAACTCATTGGTCACTACTCTTACCCATGGTTTTAAATTTTGGTGAAAATTGTGACCTCCAGATGCAGCACCCAAAATTAAGGGTTTTAAGCAAGGTGCCAGCCAGCAGGTTCATAAGGTGTCCTGCTGGTTGTAGTTGGGATCAAATCCCTCCTGCTTGGGGGATGGGCTACCCCCATTGTGTAGGGCTTTCAAATGATACCAAAAAAATTAGGACTTTCAATGATTCAAGCCATGTCTCACCTTGCTCTAAATCCCCTTTTTAATTTTCTGTTTTTTTTTTTATTTTTTTTTAATTATACATAATTACCTATTAAACCAAAAAGGAAATAGCATTGCCTTAACTATTTCTAACAATCATAAAGAAAGAGGGATTTGCTTTTCTAATGTGTAGCCAAGTGGCACCACTTTCTCCTAAATCCCCTCTAATTCTTATTTATCTCCTAAATTATCTCTAACTCCTATTTATCTCTTAAATTATCTCTAATTTAGTAGAGTGATTCCCTTCTATGCTATCTTTAATTCCTATTTATCCTCTCCCCCAGTTTTTACCTATATCCATCTAAAGACAGTTTCAATTAAAAATTCAGAATTATTTAAATATTATAATAAAATTATATACTAACTTTAAAATATTTATTCAAAACATAAAAATTAATTATAATATATTTAATAATATTCATATTATTAATAATTCTATATCTTTACAAAATTCATCAAGAAATTATGTAGTAAAAATATAAATTATAATTCTACCAATTATTCAATCTAAATGTTATTCAAATAACAAAATTTTAACATTAAAAAAATAAAACATATTTTAAATATTTCAATAACTAAATATCTTAAATAACAAAACATTACAAATAGCTAAATAATTATATAACAAAATATCTAATATTATGTAATAAATTTAAAATAAATAAAATTAAAATAATGAAAATTTTAAATATTTTACATATTATTTAAATATTGATATAAAAAAATATTTAACATGATTAAAATTTTAAATAGTTAAAATAACGAAATTATGTAATAAATTTAAAATATTTCTTAAAAGTAGAAAATAATTATACTAGGTTTCATAATATTCATATTAATAATAATTTAATATTTTACAAAATTAATATGTAATAATATTAATAATTATGATTTTATGGATTATTAAATTCAATAAATAATTAATACTTTTAAAATTTAAGTAAAAATATTATTTAAATAACTAAATAATATTGTAAATAACTAATTTCACTTATATTAATTAATAATTATAGAAAATAAATTTCAAAAAAATAATATTTATTAGTAATAATTTTACAATAAGTGTATATTAATTATATATTTATATATAATAAAATTAATATTTATTGTATTTTAGTAATTAGGTATTTTTATAATTTATTGATTAATATTATTATTGATTAAACTATTATTTTTTGTTGCACTATTTATTGACTAATTTAATATATTTTCATTAATTATTATATTCTTATTAGATATCTATTGTATTTTCATTATAAATTTATTTTCAATAATTGAATATTTTTGTTATAAATTTTTAAAAATTATTGGAGATTAAACTATTGTTATTTAGTAAAGATCAGACTATTAAATTAGCTAAAATTAGGAGTATTCATGGATTGATTTAGTTTGGTTGCAGGTTGTTTTGCCAACCAAATCAACTTGGTCAAGTTAGAAGTTTGTCACCCGAAACCAACTGGCCATTAATAAAAACCCGCCAACTTAGGTTGTATCAGTTTAGGTCTATTTTTGATTTGGTTTGTTTGTTCAAAAGATTTAAACTTAAAAAGCTAAATTTAAATTTAATAAATTATAATGGTATTATTAAAAATAAATTTATAATAAATATTTTAGACTAAGAAATATGGAAATTTTCCACTTTTTTGTATTAAAAATTATATTTAAAATATAAATATCTATGGTTGGGTCAGTTCAATTTTGGTCGATTTACAAATAGCCAAACTAAAACTCATCTAACTTGGTCGGATTAATGGAAAATTGCTAAACCAAAGCTGATCGAAAATACTAGAAAACCGACTAACTTGGGTTGAGTTCGATTAGATTGGTTATTAAAAAGTTAAAACATAACACAATTATATACTCTTATGTATTTTTATTGTTTAACTTTTCCTTAACAAAGCCTATGCATCGCAACAGTCCCCACTAATCTATCTATCTATATACTAAGGGGATGTTCTATAGTGTGGAGGAAAAATTGGGTAGTGTGTTCCAATCCACACAACACCTGTGGATTGGACTATTGACAAAATATGGGTGGACTGAACCATACCACACCCCAATAGGGTAGGTGTATTGCACTATTGACAAAATATGGGTGGACTGAACCATACCACACCCCCTTAGGCATTCTGCAAGGTGCGGTTTGATTCCATGCATCTCACCTACAATACATGAGGTGGTCTATATTATTAATCATAAATAAATAATGTATTGTTTTTTAAGTAATATACATTATAAAAGCAATATAACTAAACCATGAGAACATATATTGCATTTTATTTTAAGATTGAAATACAAAAATTAATAAAAAATATAAGACTACTACTGATTTTTATAAAAATAAATTGCCAAGAGTAATAATTT